TAGTTTTACTTGCTGTTCTACATTGTACTAAGGAACACTTTAGTTTTACTTGCTGTTCTACAGTTTTTGATAACTTATCAGGAAAAAGATAGAATATTCTCACTTACCTTCGGGCCCACTTTTTCTTTCTTGGGCAGCTTCGTGATGATCATCCTGTCAAACCTGTACAAACAGGAAAAGAATAGAAATATTCATATAATCACAATGCGCGACTTCACCTACATAGGCAAAGTCTGTTTCTAATAGTCCAGCAGCTGTGTAGGCCAAGTTCACAAACAAACAACTTCTACAGAATTCCGTCTTCAACTATCGTTGGTCCGCCGCAGCCCGGTTCCCCCCGACGGCCACTTGAAGCCAAGTAGAGTTGCTTGCTTGGACACAATGAGATCAAAGTTTCTATGAATATCCCAACATTCTGACATAACGCCGACTCTTCCGGCGCCCATCTTTTCTTCAAATCCTCACTTCACCCGTCAGTCGACTTTGATCCTCGCTCTTCTTTCCCTAAATTTGTTCATGACTACTAGAACATTCTCTTTACATCATTTTATTTTATCTCTTCCGAAATGATGCCGATAACACACACAATCTTGTTTATGATCAGCACATTTCAAATGATAACGCGATATATGCGTGTTAATAAAGGGAATTAGGGATGATGAAAATACACGATATCGCTTCCTGGTCAAACTGGTTATTCATGGGAAAATAACACTATTTCCTGCTAATGCACACATTAGTTGTTATGTGGGATATATCTCCACATGGCTGTTATGTAAAAACTTGGTATCTGCACGTGCACTTTATACGTGCATTTAAATACCTTCGTACCAAATACTTTCAGTTGTTGTTGTTTTTTTTCTTTTTCTTTTTGTATCGTATATGCATTCAATGGTCGTTAAACTTTAACATGATTTGTTCGTTAAATTTCGCACAAAACTACTCGAGGGCTATCTAAGTTAACTGTCCCTAATTTAGAAGTGACAGACTAGATGGAATGTAGCTAGTGAATACCATCCACTGACAACTCTTAGCGAAAGGCTACTCATTACTAACGAAAAAGTGGGATTGACCGCCACGTTATAATGCCCCTACGGCTGAAAAGGCGAACATGTTTGGTGACGAGGTTCGCACCCACGATCCATACACTGCTAGTAAAGCGCCCTAATCACCAGGTCATGCTAGGTCAACTGTTTTTGTTTCTGTGCAAAGCTACACAATGGGCTATCTATGTTCTGTCCACCTCGGGGAATCGAATCCCGAATTTTAGTGTTGTAAGTCCGTAAATATACTGCTGACCCCATGGGGGACCTTTAACATGAAGCTAGTATATATACATACACTAGTGACTTTGCTTAGGTTTGTCGTTAAGCGCAGAGCTACACAATGGGCTATCTATGTTCTGTCCACCTCGGGTAATCGAATCCCGAATTTTTATGTTGTCAAGTCCGTAAATATACCGCTGACCCCATGGGGGACCTTTAACATGAAGCTAGGTATATATATATATATATATTATATATATATATATACACTAGTTGACTTTGCTTAGGTTTGTCGTTAAGCGCAGAGCTACACAATGGGCTATCCGGGTCTCTCCTCATTGCGGATGTCGATATCCGATGTTTTA